CACAGGGCTGGTGTGGGTGTGGTGCTGGTAAGGTGTTGATGTAGGTCTGGTGCTGGTGTGGGTGCAGTGCTGGTGTGAGTAAAGTGCTGGTGTGGGTGTGATGCTGGTATAGGTGCAGTGCTGGTGTGAGTGCGATGCTAGTGCTGGTGAGAGCACAGTGCTGGTGTGAGTGTGGTGCTAGTACTGATAAGAGCAGGATGCTGACGTAAACAAGGTGCTATTATGAATATGATGCTGGTTGGAGCAGTGCTGATGTGAGCATGTTGTTAGTACTGGTAAGAGTGCGGTACTGGTGTTAGTGGTGCTGGTATGAACTCTGATGTGGGCACAGTACTGGTATGAGTGTGGTGTTGGTGTGAGTGGTACTAGTGTGAGCTCTAGTGTGAGGTGCAGGTATGAGCACAATTCTGTTGTGCGTGCTGGTGTGAGCATGTGCAAGTGTGAGTGTAGAGCTGGTCTGGGTACTGGTATGAGTGAGGTATTGTTGTGAGCGAGGTTTTAGTGTGAGCATGGTGCTGGTGTGAACACCATGCTGGTGTGACAGTGCTGGTGTTTGTGTGATGCTGGCCACGTGTGCTGCTATGAGTGCAAAGCTGATTGTGTGTGACTGAATGCGGTGCTGGTATAAGCACCGTGCCATTGTGAGTGACGTGTGATGTGTGCCATGCTGGTATGAACACCATGCTGGTGTGAAGACAGTGCTGGTGTGAGCGTGGTGCCAGGTGAGAGCAGTGTCCATGTGCTATGTGTCTCCTGCAGGAACCAGTCCAACGTCAGGAGGATGCACACAGCTGTGAAGCTCAATGGAGTCGTCCTCAGCAAGTCCCAGGATGCCCAGCTGGTGTTACTAAACATGCCAGGGCCTCCCAAGAACCGACAGGGTGACGAGAACTGTATCCTTCCACCTGGATGCAGCCCCAGGGTATCACCTGGTTCCCAGGGAGAGGCTGAGGGCCCTGAGCCTGGCTTTCCCTTTAGGTGGAACCTAGAGCTGGGACAGTGGGGGAGACATGGACAGAGGGGCGAGAGCGGCCAGCCCTACCCACACCAAGGTCCTAGTGTGTTCACCACTGGCACCTGGGGAGGTAGGGGTGCTGTTGAGGACCCTGACATGAGTGGGCAGGACCCTTAGAGAGCTCAGGGTAAGGTCAAGGTGGGCTTCCTTCCTTTGAGGGGGCTTCTGAGATGGTCCCCTTAGGAGGTGTCCAGTCCCAATAATCTCAGGCAGCAGGGGCCAGTGGCCTGGGGCCCAGGGTCCCACCAGGTGGATCAGTAATCACAGGCCCCATTGCTGGATCTGTCTGTCACAGTGTCTGAAGGAGGAGGCTCTTCCCTCAACACCCTCCCCTGCTTTCCTCCATCACCCTTCCCCTCCCCCTCCCTTCCCACTGTGCCCCCATCACCCCTTCCAGTTCCCCTTCTCCTCCCTACCCTCACCACTCCCCTTACCCTTCCTACCCTTCCCACCTCCTCTTCCCTCACTCTCTGCCCCATCACCCTTCCCATTTCTTCCTCCCCTCCTCATCTCCCCATCCCTCCCACTTCTCCTGCCCCTGTCCTACCTGCCCCTTCATCAACCTCCCATCCCTCTCTCCTACCTCCCTCCCCCTCGCCCACCCCTCCTTCCTCCTTTTCCTCCCCCTCTCTCCCCCTTTTCCCCTTCCCCACCCCTCCTTCCTCCTCCCTCCTCTCTTACCTCCCTTTCTCTCCCCTTCCCCCCACCCCTCCTTCCCTGCCCTCTCCTCTCCCACTTCCTCTGCCTTTCATCTCTCCCTCCTATCCTCTTCCTCCACTGTCTCTCTTACCCCTCCTTCCCTTCCCCTGCTCCCCCTGCCCCCTACACACCCCACTCTTCGGCTGCCCCTTAACTCCTGCCCAGACATGGAGTTCCTGGAAGTCCTGACTGAGGGCCTGAACCGTGTCCTCCTGGTCCGGGGTGGCGGCCGGGAGGTCATCACCATCTATTCCTAACCAGTCAAGCACAGATGGACGGTCAGTGGCCCACACCTCCTGGATGATGCTGGAGCACCACCTGACCGCTCCCTGGACCCCACTGAAGGCCGAGCCCCCAACACCACCCCAGCTGACCTCACTTGGTCACGGCACAACATAATGTCACTGCCAGCCTGGTCGACCCAGGATGGTCAACTCACTTGCTGAAGTCAAGGCGTCCTCTCTGGAAGAGGCTCTGGATGCATCCTGTGCCTTCATAGCCTGTCCCTCTGAGTGTCCAGCCATAACACAGCAAGCCATCCCCTTGGCTGTCCCGTGTCAGCTGTGTCCCTGCTCACTGACCAGTCCCTCACTGGAGAGGCACCCTGGGCCCATGGGGCAGGCGCATGGGGTGGTCATGATCAGGACACAGAGGCTAATACGTATGTCATGCTGGACTCTGGAAACCAGGTCCCTCATGTCCAGGCTGGCCTCTGCTGGGAAATCGGGCTCTGCCACTGTGGCCACCCTCTGCTGGGCAGGCTGGCCGCAGCTTCTGTGACAGCAGGACCCGAGTCCAAGTGCTTCAGGTGGACATGCAAGAGTGTCCACTTGGGCATATTGGCCCTTGACCCCTCTGGCCGAGAAGATGCTCCTCCCCTGCACCTGTGACCCCACCCACAGTGGGACTGTGTCCCTCCTGGATAGGTGTCCACAGGGCTGAGTGTCCTTCCTGGACAGGTGCCATGGAGCCAAGTGTCCCACCCGGGTGGGTGTCCACAGAGCCAGGTTTCCCTAAGTGTCCCCCCTACATGTGTGTCCACAGGGCCGAGTGTCCCCCCCTACAT